TCTCTCTCTCTCTCTCTCTCTCTCTCTCTCTGTGTGTGTGTGTGTGTGTGTGTGTGTGTATATCCGTAACCCTACCTCTCTCTCAGTGATCCAAATCCCCTTCATTCGAATTAATTAACCTTCTCGGTATTCTTCAAATCGAAGGAGACACCCTACAGTGCTCCTTCCCGCCCTAAAGATGTCCACGGTACAAACCAAGGCTGAGTCCCACATACCAGAATTTACCAGATACAGTCCCACCCACCAGATAAGTCCCACTTTTACCAGAGAGAATCCCACGAGCGAGCCCATCAACGATGGGCAACTACAGCGCGGGACGAAGTACGGACAGATGGATAGGGGGAAGAAGGACGTTCAAGAAAAAAAAAAAATAGGGGAGGAAGAGGAGGAATGGTGCCAACTAGAGTCCAGACAGTCTCACATTTTTTGTCCCACATTTTGTCCCACATTTTTTGTCCCACATTTTTTGGCCCACGTTTTCTGCCCCACGTCCCCGGACACGCTTCTCAAATACTTATTACTGTATTACTGTATTATTATTACTGTATTACTGTATTATTAAGCTTCACTTATCCGACTTCCACTATCTCTAGGTGGCGGGTAAACCTGGTTAAACCTTGTAAAACCTGTTTAAACCTGATTAAACCTGGTTAAACCTGGGAGATGTCTGTCCCACGTCCCCGGACATTGTTTCGTACAACTCTCAGTAACGGAGAGGGGAGGAAGAGAAAAGAGGGAAGAGGAGGAAGAGGGAGGAGGAGGAGAGAGGAGGGAACAGGGAGGAGGTAGGTGGTGGGAGCGATGAAGGGGAGTAAAAAGAAGGAAGGACGAGGACAAGGAGTGACAGTGTGGGACAAAGAACCGTGGGATAGGCAGGAAATGTGGAACAGAAGGCGTGGGACAGGCAGGAAATGTTGGACAGAAAACGTGCGACAAGTAAACCACGGGGTGCGATAAGAAACGTGCCACACAAACAGTGGGATAAGATAGCCTGTATACATTTCATCAGTTCGGCGGCAGGCGCCCGTCCTGCCCCGAACCCAAAGCACCCTCATCGTGACAGCTGCGTTGGACCGGAAAGATAGCTTGTATACATTCATGATCGGGTTGCGTTGCGTTGCGTTGCGTTCAGGGGGGGGAAACACGTGGCAGGCCATCCATGAACCTTCCCTGACCATTCGGCGGCGTTAAATTCAAGATAGCTTGTCCCATTCTGCACGTTTGGCGCGCAGTGCCCTGGAAGACGACGAAGGCGAGATATTATACAACCTATGATCATATGTATTACTCCGAGGATGACACGTGTCCCTAAGTTTTTTTGTTTTTTTTTTTTTATGTGGTCCGGTGGGCCGCGGAGCAGATATGGAACTGATCGGAACAGATACAGTGCACTTGATTTTACTTGAGCCAAGAGGCCGAGAGAGGTATAAATGTCCCGTCCCTAAGATTACCCATGAAAAAAAAAAAAAAAAAAAAAAAAAGATTGCCCTTGGACAGGATACTAACGCTGCAAAAAACAAAAATTATGGAGGGGGGGGAAAAAAAAAAAATTATGGAGGGGGACAAGGACGAGGACGTGGACAATGATGAGCACAGAGTGTTTTTCCTTTTTCTTCTCTCCCTTTGTTGTGGACATATCGCCCAAAGGAAGACGAACGCTGACGTGGCCCCTGAGCAAGGATGACACAGAAAAACCAAGACGGGATCCAAATCAAGAAAAAAGAAAACAAACTATAGAAGGAAAATGAAATGCAAAAGGGAAAAACAAAAAAAAAAAAAAAAGGCCAACATGAGAAGATAGATGGGGACCAGACAAGGGAAAAAAAAAATTAAAAAAAATGGGGAGTAGACTGGAGCCGGTCGTCAAATATATACATACCTGAGCAGATGGAGCAGATGGAGCAGAAGAACCTGGACTTCAATTTCAATCCAGCTTCTAGCGACGAGTGATGGATCGATTTATGCCAAAGAGTCAATCAATCCTAACCTAACCGAGCGAGCGAGCATGGGCCGTCGATCTTCGACAGCGTTACGCAGCTTACTGTGACGGGCTGGAGGCGGGTTGGAGGTGGAAGAGATTTTGCAATAGACTCGTGGAATCGAGCCCGCCTCAACGTCGACTCTTCGACGTTCGATTCGATGAAAGGGCCTCTTAGGGTGAGGTCCCACTAGCAAAAAGTGGTTGGATAAATATCCTGAATCTGGACGTGTTTTAAGCGGAGATGCGAAAAAGCAGTTCAATCTCAACATTCTGCACCTGTCCACAAACAAGTCCAGATTCAGGTGTTCAATCCAATCCTCTTTGAGAAGTGGGACCTCGCCCTTAGTCAGTTGGTACACCCTTGAAGTCTTGCAATGTAGACCAAAGTTCGAATCCACATCTAACATTCGACGAACGTCACGTGACGTAACGCCACGTAAGGTAACGTGCCGTGAACTGTTTTGTACCCTAAAAGTCGTGGCACCGACAGCTGCAGAAAAAATAACTTGGATCCAATCCACGGGCCCGACGGGGAAAGGCCAACCGCGATGTCAGACACAATATTGAATTTACCTGGGCTGGTTAGTCCGATGATAATACCTCAAGGCCATCGCCCTTTTGAAAGAAAGAAAAAAACAAGTCTCCGCGAATGTTGCCGAGTTGCTCCCAACGCGGACTGCGGATATAGAACGGGCAACGGCCACGAATGAACAACAGTAAATTAAATTAAAAAAAAAAAAAAAAATCGCACAGTCGCCAACTTTCAGGGGGAGGGGGGAGGCGGCTTCTGGAAATTCAATCCCAAGACTGGTGGGACGAAGGAGGCCTGGAGAAGAAAGGGCCTGTATTCTTCTCTCAATCTATCTACGTATAGACATAATATATATATACAGGGTCACCAGCCCGTACGGAGGTCCCCGGACGGAACTTTGTAGTATGGGCGTTTGGGGTCCCGTTCGGGTCGAACCCGTTCGGGCCAAAAATTATTTCGGGGCCTAAAATAACATTTTTTTTTCTGATGTATTTTTTTGTGAGTTTTCTATGATGTGAGGTACATGTTCATTTTGCTAAGCCAAAAAAAACTTCAAAACCGCCAAAGATGGCGGTGTGCTCGCCCACTCAATTATTTTTTTTTTCACTTTTTACTTTTTGTTTTCACTTTATTGCGGGGCCTAAAACAAATTATTATTTTTGAATTCTTTTAAATCAGTTTTGTACTATGTGAAGTACATATCTGTTAATTTTCATGGCATTTGGCTGTGCCAAAAGAAAATGAAAAATCGCCAAAGATGGCAGTGTCGAAAACGTGCTCTCTCACTCACTAATTTTAATTCTCTTTTCATTTTTTCTTATTTTTTTAATTAGTTTCATTTCTGTATTTTATTTTTATTTCAGATTTGGTAAGTAATTTGGATGTAATGCTCAGGCAAATGTTGTTTATTGTATTTTTTTTCAGATTTTTTCTAGGCTACCAGGCTGTCCGTGCACGGCAGGGTATGATGCCCTAAGCACACGTTGTTCAGTAACTACTATGAAGGCGCCTGTGAACCAGCAGGCAGTTGGCCCGCAAGAGTGAGCAGGTTAAGTAGCGGTGGTGGGACTACGTGTTGTTTGAGCGGAGTGAGTGGATTGCCATGTCCGTGGTGTGGTGTGTGTGAGTGTGTGGTGTGAGTTCAAGGACGCTACAGCCCTGGAGGTGGGCTGGATATCACGACCGGTATGGATCCAGTTTTATAACACCTCCAACGGTTGTAGTGGTTACGATATTTCGTTCCTGTGGTGGAGGGTGCCGGTTCGAGGCCGTCCGTGCACGGCAGGGTATGATGCCCTAAACACACGTTATTCAGTAACTACCAATCGCGCCGCCCGGGTCCCGGGTGGTCAGCCCGTGCAAGGACCAAGGAAAAAAAAAAAAAAAAAAATCCGAAAAAAAAAATTATATTCTGCAGGGTAACCGGCGTTCGGGACGGGCCGAACGCCCGAACCCGAATGCCCGAACGTACGAGACCCCTTGGGGATGCTTTCGGTCGTTCGAGCTGAATGCGGATCCACAAAAAAAAAAAAAAAAATCGAAAAAATCTGAACAAAACATATGTTATGCAAAACGATAAAATAAACAACATTTGTCTGAGCATTACATCCAAATTCCTTACCAAAGTTGAAATAAAAATACAATAAAAAAAATAAATACTAATAAAAAAAATAAAAAAAATAAAAAGAGAAATTAGAGAATTAAAATTAGTGCGTGTGCAAACCCGTTTTCGACACCACCGTCTTTGTCGATTTTTTATTTTTGTTTGGCATAGCCAAATGCCCTAAGAAATTTTCGTATGTGTACTACAGATAATAAAAAAACTCATGAAAAAAAAAATAATAATAATAAAATTGTTTAGCCCCCAAAATAAAGTGAAAACAAAAAGTAAAAAGTGGAAAAAAAAACAAAATTGTGAGTGGGCGAGCACGTTTTGACACCTCGAAATTGGAGATTTTTCATTTTGTTTTGGCTCAGCAGAATGACTTCAAAATTTATAGGCATGTACCTAACATCATACAAAACTTACCCAAAAAACTTTCGAAAAAATATATATTTTTAGGTGCCGAAATCATTTTTGGCGGGGGCCGAACCCCTTCAGGTTCGGCCCCCGAACGGGACCTCGAACGCCCGAACGTACGGAGATCCGCCCGGGGGCCGCCGTACGTACGGGCTGGTAACCCTGATGTTATGCATAAAAATAAATTGAACAACTTTTCCCCCAGGGTCACATCTAAATTCTTCACCAAATTTAGAATAAAAATTAAAGTTTAAAATAATACTTTTATTTTTATTTTTTTTATTATTTTTTGGCCCTGTCGGGCAAGTGATCCCGTACCACTCTGGTAGCCTAGGAGTTTTTTTTTTTTTTTTTTTTTTTTTTTTTGGTCCACATTCCGCCCGAACAGCCAAATGCATCCCCAAGGGGTCCCGCACGTTAGGGCGTTAGGGCGTTCGGCCCGTCCCGAATGCCGGTTACCCTATATATATATATATATATATATATATATATATATATATCGTTAAATAGAACTGCCCGGTAAACTGTAGGCAGAGAGGGAGAAGAGGACAACAAACGAGGGGCTGTGACAAACTGTTTCGTCGGAGTTTCACCGACTCATCAGGAGGCTGAACCCTATATATATGTTCAGCCTCCTGATGAGTCGGTGAAACTCCGACGAAACAGTTTGTCACAACCCCTCGTTTGTTGTCCTCTTCTCTCTCTCTGCCTACGGTTTACCGGGCAGTTCTATTTGTGACGATATATATATATATATATATTCGTTTGTTGTCCTCTTCTTTCTCTCTGCCTACGGTTTACCGGGCAGTTCTGCTTGTGACGATATATATATATATATATATGAGTCGGTGAAACTCCGACGAAACAGTTTGTCACAGCCCCTCGTTTGTTGTCCTCTTCTCTCTCTCTGCCTACGGTTTTACCGGGCAGTTCTGTTTGTGACGTATATATATATATGATTCCGCATCTATCTCATTTATCTCATTCTCTCACTACTCTATGATGACTACGGAGGAACACCAAACAAACATGAAACTCACCCCAACCCACAAGCGCCTAATTATTTTCAAGGTCTGCTCGACACGGAACGGCCCAGGGGTTGGGCTGGATTCATTAAACCACTAGAATTTTTCCCAACTTGTAAAACGATAATGTGGTGTCGCGCGCAGCAGTCCCGCTCCCTGCTGGGAGCGCTGAACCTCACAGTCATGTCACGCATGATTTTTTTGAGTTGAAAACAATCAGTCACCACTCTGACCGTACGCGCCGGCTATACCTCTCACGACACCCCACGACGAGTCGGGGTGCCGCGAGGTGCAACTTACCTCTACCAAAAGGGTTGTCACCACCCTTAGGTATGCGTATCTCTACTGAGCTACCAACCCACATGCGAAGGTTTTTACATGCCTTTGTAGAGGTAGGTCCGCCGATGACGTTTACTCGATCGTCGCAACGTAGGAATGACGTACGCGCGGTAAAACGTCTAAGACTAACCTGTTAGTTAAGTCGGGTTCAGGATGTGATCTCCCTATCCTGTATCTTTAAATTTTCAGGTCGAACTTTTAGAAGGTTGCCTATCTCCGTTTTTGCATCTAAAAATGTATTATTCTTCTGACGAAACGATCAATGTACCAATCAAATCTTTTAACCGCCAAGGGCATTCTATCTTACTTAACAGATTACGACTTAACTAAATATCATACAATATAGAGGTTACACAAAAAAATAATGAATATGGAGGTATTATCGTCAAGAACCCTTCCCACTTTCACAAGTGCGGTGCGTCCGAGACTCTTCAACAGATCAAGTCCAGTTCAATCCAAAAGTCACCCACAAAACAAATTTATACAGAATAATGCAAAAACAATTCACATGTCATGCACTAACGATGTCAACCATCAATCCACATCATTGACATTGTCCCTCACCCCCCAAACCAGGTATAACCGCTCTATCTTTCCTGAGACGTAAGCCCAACCCCCTCACTTTTCTTCAAATGACCCTTGAGAGTGACTAGGATCATTCAGGCAATGACCATAGGTGAAAATTTTACTGACCACAAAGTTTGAATTTAGATGTGGGTATCAAGTCAAGGGGAAAAAGTTGAATCGGTAACAACCGACCTGTTATCGAAAGATAACAAAAAAATTGGGTTATTTTTTTTTAGTCTCTCCTTTAATTGCAGTAGATCAAAACAGGGACCTGCACACACACACAGGTCAACGAAGATTCAACATCCCCAACTGTTTCCCACTTATTGATATCTAAGGGTCAAACCCTTAGATCTTGAATGTGAACTCTAGGATCGACGTCCCAAAGTCTAATCTCTAGCTATATTCTTAGAACCTTCCCTAAGTCGTTTGTCCCCATCCCCTTTCTCTCAAGGAGTTTCATATCTGTCATAAGTTATCACAAGGAAAAGTTGTATTTCCTTTTTTATCAGTCCATTCATCCTTCTCTCTTGGAAATAAACAAATCTCTTGATGTATACGTAGTTGAGTTTAACTCAGTTGACAATGTAGCTTTCCTTTACGAAAATCGTGGACGGATAT